GTTACCGACATCTGGTGAAAATTTCATGTCATTAGCACCTCTAGTAATATATTTACTGAGAAAAATGGTGACGTGTTCAATACTTATTTTACCCGCTGTAGAGGGCAGAACTTGTGGCAGGACCCTGTGCGCAAACTCTGAGGTCTATAAAGGAAAATAGATTGAAGGTGTGTGCGCACAGTTTTATACAGTAAATCTGACATTCTTTTTTTTATGAGAATGCCATTTTCATCTTTTGGCTGTATGTTCACTGTATGGCTGTATGGTTTCCACACAATCCTTTATAAATGAGACCCCTGGTCTTCTGAGGATGGATATAAAAACCATGATTTGTTCTTAAACAGTAATCAGCTGCAGGTGAACCATCACACTGAACTCACTGATTTGATAGCTTTAGCATTTGCTTATTTTAGCCATTGTGTAGCTGGTATTAGCTCTTATTTACTCTTGCTAGGTTTAGCCACTGTTTTGCTTTTATTGGCTGTTTATGTTTTGCTCGTTTTAGCTTTTAGCTACTGTTCTGCTGCTCAAGTTTTGTTTTGTTTATTTTGACTTTTAGCCAACAATCTGTTCATTTTAGCTTACTTTTAGCTTGTCAATATTGGCATCTGCTCCTTATTGCTTGGTCTTGCTCATCTTGCTTTTTATTTATTTTAGCTTATAGCAAAAGTTCTGTTAATWTTAGCTTATAGCTACAGTTCTGCTGCACAAGCATTCYGTTTTAGCTTGTTCAGCAGTCATTCAGCCCTCTCTTTCATAGAAAAGGCTAAAGGCTAACATTAGTCTCTCAGGGACATACTGTGTGTAGACCAGCTGAAAGGGGATCAGTGTGACTCCAGTAGCTTSAGGTTTTGTGGATCCTGGCTGCACACAGACAGCCCAGCTCTCAGGTGCACTCATTGGTTTTGTCCGATCTGACTAAGTTTCTTGTGTGAGAAGATATTTTCATCTTGTTACAGATGTTAGAGCAGATGTTGAGAGAAACTCTACTCACATTTTTGTCCTTCAGCTCCGTCTGACACGTCTGACAGAACCTGAAACCAGAGGACAGAACCTGAAGCTCCTCTACTGGACTTTCTGAAAAACTAAGTTTCTGATGCTACCTGCTGCCCYGATGCTCCTCTACTGGAGTCTCTATGAAGTCCTGGAGGGGGAAGAGGTGATGGAAGGACCTGGCCAGGTGGGGGGCAGACACTAAAGTAAGACCTGAGACACAACACAGACACACAATGTCATCCCTCTGGAGGAAACAACAACAACAAACAGTTTTTCTGCCCTGAAGTCCACAGACCACAGACTCTACACTCCACAGGGAGCTCGGTGTACTTGGCCTGGCATTGTGGACAGAAATACCCCCTCAGGGACAGGTCCGGATCACTGCTGCTGTCCAGATGTCTGGGGGACACACAGTAGAGGGATGACGTTAGTCAGGAAACACAGCAGTAAACACAGGTCAACACAGGGCTCAGGTTAGACCATGTTGATCCTTACGACATGCTGAACGAAGGTTTGACATCCTGGTCAGTCAGAGAGGCCACCGTGTGCTGAGGGAAACCTGACGGAACAGAAAATCATCTCAATATAAACTATCAATTGAAGTTAACTGAACCAAGGTCTAAACATTTGATAAAATGTCCTTCAGTCCATGAATACATCTAATGATTAGTTTCTGCAGAGCTTGTTAAAATTTACCCCCACTGTGTCATGAGATAATATACTGACAGACATGTCAGGACCCTAACAGCCCCTCTGTGGCAGCAGGGGTCTGTGTACTGACCCATGCGTATTAAAGAGCACTCTGATGAGGAGCGGGCAGGAGGAGGTTTGACATGTAGCATCAGTAGTTCTTTGAAGTGACTCTCATCCAGGATAACGTGGTACGAGCCGCCCGTCTCTCTGGTCAGCACCGTACACACCCGTACCTCCGCCGACAGCCCGATCACCGACACCCGCACCTTTAGAGACTTCAGGGTCTGATAGGGGAAACAGAGTCACAGAGTCCTGACCTCAACCCCATAGAACACCTTTGGGATGAATTAGAGCAGAGACTGAGAGCCAGGCCTTCTGTCCAACATCAGTATGTGACCTCACAGATGTGCTTCTGGAAGAATGGTCAAAAATCCCCATAAACACTCCTAAACCTTGTGGACAGAAGAGTTGAAGCTGTTCTAGCTGCAGAGGGTGRACCAACATCATATTGAACCCTATGGATTAGGAATGGGATATAATATAGTGTACCTTCACATTTGRTAAATACATGGTTGAGGTGTTGCAAATTTTATCTTTTAGCTGTAGTTTTGCTGATTTTGGCTTCTGTTCTGCATGTGCCAAATATTTTTAAACACATTTCAGGGAAGTTATTCAGTGTTCAGCATTAACACAGAAAATCTGCTGGTTTGTTTCTACAACAGAAGCTGTGAGAACCTGCAGGCCTGACTCTGAGCTGGTGAGGATGAGGGTCTTACTGAGCTCCTCACCTGCAGCTTACCTTGATGAGCTCATAGATGTTGGCGGGGTCACATGTGGTGAGGCTGCTGAGGATGATCAGGACCTCTCTGCTCGTGTGTCCTGGCATATGCCTTTATGAAAACATAAAACACCTGAGTGTCATTCAGCGATTTCAGAGACTGCTCAGATAGCAGGTCAGTTCTGAGCCCACCTGAGGGTCTGTAAGGCCAGGTTCAGAGAGTTGTACAGGGACGGCTCTCCCACACACGAGGTGTCCACAGCTTTCTTCAAAGCAGCCATGTGTTTCTTAGGATTTCCTGTTGAAACAGAACTGAATGAGCATCAAACCTGAAGCCTGAAGATCTGTTACAGGTGAAGATCTGAGAAGGTATGGTTATTGTGAGTGGGGATGGATAAAGAACAGATATGAGTGGGGGTCTCGTAAGTGGTCCCATTACTCTCCCCAAAAAATACACTGAGTTTTAATCAAAGCTTTGCGCCATTAGAAACACTCAGTGAGCTTCTCAGGATCCATAAAAGGTTCCTCAAGAATTATTTTCCTTTGACTGCTCAGAGCCAGGCAGTGGTCTAAGTAGTGCAAACAGGTCTGTAGTTCAATGCCACAGGCATCACACAGACCATTGTCATGGAGTCAGGTTGTGCCCAGTAAAGAGGGTAATGGTCATGTGCAGGGAGAGGTCTGAGAGGGTCCCAGACAATCTAAGCAATCAGAGTAGAAGGACCTCAGTCAGGGAGGTGACCAGGACCCCAATGGTCACAGTTAAATTCAGCTGATTGGACACTCAGCCTGTGGTGCTGTCATACGTTTTTGTGCAGTGCCATTTGTACAATCCTATGGTGGTCCACAGACTTGGACTTCATGTCTTGGCTTATACTATGACACACACAGTCTGCCCAGTCAGCTGATTTCATGAGAACTCCAGTTAGAGAAACACCTGACAAAGGGTCACTGGAAACAGGACCACCTGACATCATGACAAAGGCTTTAAATTTTTGTGAAGTTGTGTTAAAAATCAACAAAAACAGAATAAAATGATTTGGAAATCTGTTCCAACCAATATTCTATTGAATCCACTACAAAGATAAGAAGTTTAATGTTCAATAAGATAAACATTGTTTTTTTTTTAATCAAATATTCACTCATTTTGAATTTGATGCTGCAACATATTCTAATAAACCTGGACAGGRTCATGTTTCCCTCTGTGTTCCATCATYTTTCCTTTTAACAACACTCAGTAAGTGTTTGTGAACTGAGGACACTAATTGTTGAAGCTTKGTAGCTGGAATTCTTTCTCACTCTCTTTTGATGAATAACTTCAGCTGCTCAAYGGTCTGGGGTCTCTGTTGTTGTATTTTGTTCTTCAGAATGCTCCACACATCGTGAATGGGAGAAACAACAGAGAGGTCATCACCACCTCACTGACGTAAGTCAGATGAAATGTGATGAACCTTCAGACTCAAATAGCAGGAAGGACCTCTCTTCTGAGATAATCTCTTTATCCTGAGATTATGTTCCAGAACTGAACTGGATCATTTTCTTATAAGTTATTTTAAAGATTACGTTTGACATTATGTCTTCTGTTTCAATAAGGTCAATCAGCTACAGCATGAATACGCAAAAAAGAGAGAAAAAAATATTTATGAAATAAATTTTCTTCTTGGTTGACTTCATGGTTGTGTCATATACAGTATGACTGATGTGTGATCTGAACAGTGCAGATGTCAGGCTAATCACTGAAGTGTTAAAAGTGTTTAACATGTTTTCTTTTCTTTCAGACAACACTCTCCTTGAGAGACAGACTGTCTGTATTTTGTTAGAACTGTTGGACAGTGACACACACCCAGTGTATCTTAGATTAACCTTGAGAGAAAAACTCTATGACATAAATACAAGCACAGTGAAACTAGTCATGTCTGTCTGTCTTGATGTTCTTGTTTTTGTTCACATCGGAGAAAACATGAAAACTCGAAAATAAAAATTTTAAAACCAAAACAAGGATAAGTTAACCTGAGAAGCAAACTTTGTTTTATCTAGGGATGTTCCGATCCAGATTTTTTGGCTCCTGATACAATTCGATTTTTTTAATGATTAGTCTTTCCGATACCAATCTGATAGCTGTATTTCTTTATTTCTTTCCAAGTGACAAGGTTGGTAGTATTAAAGYGAGCCCTACTGCATGAGAAACATCCAGATTTCGCAAGATGCAGTTTCAGCATCATTGTTTTCCACTGAAAAGTGTTCCCACACTGTGGACATGGTTACATACTTGTGTGCGTCTTGACTTCTTAACAGCAGTTGTAAAGCATGATGATGCTGAAAACTGGATCGGCCTGATCACATGACTAAATCCAATTCTATCTGATTTTCAAAAAATGGCCATATCTGCCACCGATACCAATACTGAGTATCTGATCGGGACATCCCTAGTTTTAACTGCAAGAAATACTTGTTTTTTTTGCTTGAAGGAATTTGTCAGCTACAGGTCTGTCAGCAAAACAGATTCCAGATTCTGCAGACCTGTGGATCTCAATAAACCCTGGGAAGTCAGGATCTGCCAAACAGCCATGTAAGCCTGAGCAGGTACCAGTCCCGAGCAGATACAGCCGGTAAAATAAGTATTGAACACATCACCATTTTTCTCAGTAAATTTATTACTAGAGGTGCTAATGACATGAAATTTTCACCAGATGTTGGTAACAACCCAAGTGATCCATACATACAAAGAAATCAAACCATAAATG